TCAGCTGTGTTAGATTTATCCTGCTACTATAATCTCTGCAAAGGCAGTTTCACCTGTAGCACAGCCAGGTCAGTGCTAGTTGCTATGTGATCAGTAATTCCAAGCTACAGAGTTCTACCAAATCATTTTGGGCTATCACTGATACAGTATAAATTCAAGCAATGATTAAGGAATGTTTAGTGATTAAGAAAAGGCTAATATTCCAGTACTTTCCTACTCTAATTATTGGATCATTCTATGAAAATACATATTTTTAAAAGAAAAATTTCTAGCTTAAAAATTTTTTTAAACCAATTAAACAATAATTATTTTTAAGAAGGTTATAATCTTGACTCTCATACAAATGCAAAACGAACACATATCAAAGATTTTGTTAGCTCAATAATTAATGAGATAACCAGTAAGCTATTAGAACCAATTCAGGAAAGGATCCAAAAAGCAAATGAATATATAAGCCTATCAGAAATACCAAAATACATTTGCTTAATAGATGCAAACTGGCCAATATCCACAGGGCAATAATCAATTGCATTCCACTATACATGTATGCTGTGCATTATTATGGACTAGGATCATTTGCCTCATGACTAGTTTTCTACAACATAAAGAGTTGTAAAATTGTTCAAAGAAAACTTCAAAACACAGAGTCAGACAACCTAGAAATGTATGTTTTCAATAATACCTAATAATTGAAGACATTCCGTAATCATCTTGGCCCATTCCCAAGTATTTCATAATTTTTTTTCTGTTAAATTAACTCTTCATATATTACTCTTTCCATGGTTATGCCCTTTTGATGTACCTGGCCATTTTCTGAAGTTCACCTTATTTGAGAGATATCTGAGGAGCTTTCCCTTTTGTTTGATTCAATAGTACAGAAAAAAAGAACATGTCTTCTACTACAAACTCCAAGTTAAGAGTGTATGGAAAAGGTCACAGTAAGCTGGGTACCTGGAGGGAGAGGCAAAAGAAAGAGAAAAAGGAGAAAGAATTAAATCATTTATATCATAATTTCATGGATAATACTACAGAATTAAACCTCTTTGTAGTCCCTTATTTCATGGGTTCTGGCTTATTGGCTTTAAGAGACATCTCAATTTAGTAATGGTTTTTTGGAGGAGAAAGAAAATTTGAAAAGGATAAAATACTTCTTTAGAAAATATAGTTATATTCATACCATGGCATATTATTCCCTCAGTAAACAACAGTTTAAACCCTTTTAACATTCTTCTGAATCACTTTGTCCATCACTTATCATGCATATGACATGATACTTTCATAGTGCATTTCCTGATTGAAACCTTTTTAGCAGCTTTGTGATTGAAAATGTAATCTTAAAGCATTTCAAAGAATACTGGGATATTTTCTTCATAATCCACCCCATACTCCTACTCTTTCTACACACACTCCAATTTAATTATATACCTGAGGTTATACAGCTAATTTTGAAAATTATAAGGAAGGTTTTGATAGCTTACCACCTAAGCAGTTGTCCTCAGCATAGCATTCATGGGTTATTCACTTTTCCTAGCTTGGAAAATGCTGTCATCTATTCTGAAAGACTGACGAATCCTTCTGCCTTTAACTGTGCTGGTTGGCATCCAACAGACAGTCCTTTTGAATAACCCAAGGCCAAAAGATTTATTAACTTGCACAGATTTATCTATTTGCATGTGTTTTCTATTCTTGGGTCCTCTGTAAAACATTTAATTGTTATTTTACAAGAGAATCACTTGGTTCATTTCTTGAGTGATGAATATTTGCATCACTTACAGTAAATTTACATCCTCTGGTGCTCTTCATTCTCTTCTGCATACACAGACTTTTTCTGTTCAGTTCTGCCATCATAGTACAGTCCTATTGAGGACAAGTCTACATCCAAGTTTAAGGAAAACTCTACGGTGAGAGGCAGGGCCAATGGAAACAATTCAACTGAGGGAACAAGGATAAACAAATAGCCTAAAGCACACACTTGTCCAGGCTATGGCACATGCACAGGAAATGACAGCTCTGACACATAATTGTCTGTATGATGATCAGCTGATTTCTTTGGACATTGATTATAAGATTTATTAGAATTGGGAAAGGGAAGGAACACTATACATGAGGAATTTGTGAAATTACAGATTTCTAAAATACAGATTGTTTCACAAAGTGTGATCCCTCTTTTTTTTTTTTTGAAAAGGTTTTTTGACAAAGTTCCTAGCTTCATTGCTGCTGATCTAATTGTGCCTTTCTCTTAGCAAATCAGGAAACAAAGGCCTGGAAACTTTAACTTATTCCAAATTTCACCAAGGTAGCTAGTATTAACCAAAGTTAAAGCAGTGATTTCCAAACTCCCAGTTGTCCAAACACCCATAATAAAGTTTTCACCAATCTGTGGCAACATGAAAAAAAAACAGTAGTGAATTTTTATGAATTCAGAAATATCCACTTCAAGGGATTGTTTTATTTTCATGTTGAAATATTCATTTTTTATGTGATCGATGTATTCATTCTTTTGTATGATTATAAGAGGCGTCATTTTTGTAAATTTTTTTGTTGCCACCCCAATATATTAGTAGAACAAAAATTTAGCAGTCCTATGTAGGTTCTTTTGATTAAAGGAATTACTAGTCCTTTGCATACAAAAGTCTGAGAATTAATAGGCAGGGGAACTTCCAATACAGTGTTCTTTTTGTTAGGCATTTCTCCCTAGTTACTTCTTGTGGCTTTTATCTTTTTTCTTTTTTTGTTGGAGAAAGGTCCTCCCTCAAGGATTTTTCTCAGCTACCAAAGGGCACCTCTCTCTTTTTCTCAACTCACAATTATGAAACCATTTTTTATTATTTTAAAATAATTGGGTTATAAAAAAGCAACAAGATGCATTTATGAATAATCTCCTTATAAATTAGATGAACTACCAGGGAAGTTAAAAAACACTATCTTTTTTTATAATGTTGACTTTCAGTTTTGTGATTCATCATACCTCAATTACAAGAAGTTCCCTTGTTTTAATGAAGTGTTTTCTAAAGTAGTATACACATATGCACTTATATGCAACTTAATCTACCACTGGCGACAAAGCAGAGAAATGCAAGAAATAAGGGTAATTTATTCATAGCTAACCTACTTCTACCTTTTCTACTACCATAGCACTATCTACTACTATTCTGGTACTGCAGCCCCTTGTTTTTATGTAAAGGCATTTTACAGAGTAGCTAGAAAAATAATAAATCTCCAAAGTAATTATCTATGTGAAAGTAACTCATTTGAGAATGTATTGATTATTATGATTAATAGTAGGTCTCTGGCATTTTGTAGACTAATGTTAATATTGTAATGTTTTGGTACCACCTTCTGCGATTGTTCGAGGTAGTGTACTTGTTATTATATTACGTGTCCAGTCATTGGTGACGATACCACTTTGTCGGGCTGGAAAGATGGAAACACTTTTTCAAAGAGAAGAAAAAATTGAGCTACTACCACTGGGCTGAAAGTAAATTAGGCTCAATAATTTAGAAGTGACAATTACTCTTGCTGTCTTGCTGTTCCTTCTGATACAGCATTATAGGCCTTTACATGTCACACTATATTAATTTAATAAATATTTATTTGGCACCTACTATGTGTAATTCATTAGGTGTTCATTCTGATTATCCTAAGATATGGAAAGATGAATATCCTTCCATTTGTGCCCTCAAAAAGCTTAGGACAAGAGATGATCCGTGTATGAAATTACCTGTAACAGAAGGAAGCAGTGGTATGTGCTATTGGAGAGGTAGAGATAGAAATTTGTCAGGATTTCAGAGGAGGGAGGAAGTTGCTGTTTTAATTGAAGAACCAAGCAGGTATTCATGAAGTAGATGAAAATAGAACAGAACCTGGAGAAGTGCTTTGGATTTGAACATATGGAACTTGGGCTAGGTTAGTTTCGGAAACAGAACTATATAAGCCAGTAACAGGAGAGGAAAATTCTGGTGTATCTGATGCAAAAGGGAGTCTGGCTAGAGTTACAGGATCCATGAAGGAGTAGTAAGTAGAAAGTTATGCTGGGTCACAGTACAAATTCTGTGTTATATTCAGGACTAAAGATTTTGGGCTTTGGTCTACAGGGATGAGAGAACTCCTGAGGTTTGTAAACATAGGAATAAGCTGGTCATAAGGAGTATCAAGACAATTGATTTGGAGGCTCAGCATATGTTAGATTGCAGGGGCAATAGCAGTTCAGAGAGTGGCTGAGAACCAGAACCATTGGTATAGTCCTTGAGATGCATTGAGAGGAAGAACTGCCATCGTGGCCATGGGAATGGCCATGGGATGATCAACAGGAGAGGTGCCAGGGTGCAACATGGAATGAGTGTTTGACAATGAATTGAACATGAGGGAAAAGAGATGGAGGGGAGTCAAATGCTTTTACGCTGAAAGAAAAAAGAGTAGGTTTGAAAAGATAAGGAGGCCTGTTTGGGCCTCCTTGAATTCAAACTGCTGGCAGACGTCAATGAATAAATATCCCAAGAACAATTACCAATGCATATCAGAAATTAAGATAAAAATGAAGCCAGAGCTATAATTTTACTTATTTGGGAATAATCTTAATAGATATAATAGTTGAAGTATCTTTGTTTTGAGAGTTCACCAGTGGGCGTGAGAAGTGTTCTACCAAGAAAAGAGAAGGGCCAGGACTAGATCTGTGGAGAATATCAACACTTAAAATGTAGAACAAGGAAACCACTCCCTCCAGCCCCCACCCAGCCAAAAACCTAGAAACTAAAAATAACCACCCAACACTCAGGAGAAGTCAGAGGCAGCAGAGGCAGAGGAGGGAGCCAGCAACCAGCAACCAGCAGCAGAGAGGCTACAGCAGGCTAGCAGAAGTAATTTTGCTTGCAAGCTGGACATCTTGCCTTCAAAAGGAAGAAAGATCACTTAACTGTGGATAGACATGTGTGTTTCCACAGCAGAGTTACTTCAACTCTCTGAAAGAGTTCCCTGACAGGATCTGCTCCCACAATTCACAGCCACATGGTCCAAATTTCTTGGCAGAATGTGTCATCAGTGGCCTGCGGTCCACTGCCCTGGCAGAGCCCTCTCCCACAAACACAGTGGGAGCTCTTTCCAGGAGTCTAGAAGCCCAAAGATACATCTGTGGTTTTGACATCCCGTTTTCCCCAGTAAGAAAAACCAGCAGAGCTGCAGGTCCGTATAACATTGCTTTTTTTTCCATCTGACCATCTGCTGTACACCAGAGGTTTTTAACCCGAGGTCACTGAGTATTCTGGCC